TAAAATGGACAAGTCTTTGAAAAACAAGTTTCTAAAATGGGAATGAAAATAGAAACTCTGATGAACCCCATATATCTATTAAAAACCCAAACTCATACATAATTTAAAGTTTTCCACAAAGGACATTACAGGCCCTGACACTTAACAGATGAAAAATTTCAAATATTTAAGGAAGGAATGTTGATCTTACCCAAACACTTTCGGAAAATAATGGAGAGAGAACATTTACTAACTCTGTTAACATTTACTCAGCTAATGAGGCTACTCCAGCTGATAAAAGACAATGCAGGAAGAGAGAAATGCACTATCTCCAATAAACAGGAAAGTGAAAATCTTGACCAAAACCTAGAAGCTGATCAATAGGACAACAGACCATGGTCAAGTAGGATTACTTTAGGAATGTGAGGTAGGTGTAAGAGTTTAAAACAATCAATGTAATTTACCACATTGGGAGGGAAAATTAGAGAAAAAGAAAAGACCAGTTCAAACAGTGAAGGAAAAACTGACAAAATCCAATAGCCATTCAAAATAAAAACATAACAAATTGTAAGTAGAAATAAATTGTCTCAGTAAAAGGCATCTATAAAAAATGCCTCTCACATTACATATGTTATAAAGCCCTGAATGCTTTCCTCATAATTCTGGGAATAGTACATGGAGATCTATATTACAAATTCTATTCAACATTATCCCTATGGCTCTGGCCAATGTGGTAAGGGAAGAAAATAAAATACAAAGCATGTCACTTTGAAAAGAAGAAGCTAAATAGTCTTTAGTCATAGGTCACATGATCATAGATGGAAAAAATTCCTAAGGAAGGTACAAACATGGCAGCCAGCATGAATAAGTGAATTTAGCAAGATATGTGATTTATATACAAAGGTCAACTGTATGTTTAGTTATTTATGCTCTCAGTGACTGACAAGAAAATGAAGTCTAAAGTATCACAACTATATAAAAGGGAAGAAGTACTTAGTGACAAATTTCACAACATTTGCATAAGATCACCACACAGAAATGCACAGTACTGAGAAAAATGAAGTAAGTTCTAAATAAATAGCGGAATGTATATTGTTCAATTGAAAGGCTCAATACTGAAAAAGAAACCCAGACCCAGAAGTGTATAGACTGAATGGCATATAGACTGCTTTTCTTTCTTTAGTTCTGTGGCCTGGACAACACCTCAAAATAGTATTGGCACAGAGAAAACTCTAGAAGTCCTCTGGCTCGGGCTTGATGAGGGAGATGGGTGATTTGTGCTGACAGTCTCCCTCCTTCTCTCTCTCCCCTCTCTCTCCCCTCTCTCTCACTCTCTCTCTCTGTCTCTCTGTCTCTCTCTTTCTCACTCTCTCTCTCTCTCTCTCTCTCTGTGAAGGGAACTTTGCACCAGATGGAACAAAGTGTGATGTGTGTGCCCAAGCTGGCTCTGCCCAGTGGTGCAGAGCTGGTTAAATCAAACTCACCTCTCTAAACAGTACTGAAATGAGGAGCTACAGGGAAGTAGAGAGTTCCTGAGAGATCATGGAGGGGGGGTGGAGTCCAGAAAAGCAACTTCAAAAAGGTGCTTATCATCTTCTGACTTAGCACAAGCTGTCCACTGGATCCTAAGAGTTTACAAAGCTGAGCACCTGGGTTCAGTGTGGCCGCTAGGTGGTGCAGTGTATGTACAACAGATCAGACCACCACAGCAGAGACAAAAACAAAAAAAGTAAAAACCCACAAGTTACATTAAAACCACACCCCTGGTGGGCTGGGTTAAACTTTCTGCCTAAACCCAAATAAGCCAAATGCTGACCAAAACAAAAGTAACATTAGATTCCAACAATACTAAGAGTTATAATATTAAAATTTTCTAAAGTATCAAATTACTGCAGAAATCACGAGGAAGCAGATGTCAACAGCAAGCTGGATGTTTATCTAGTTTAATTTCCTTTTAGATGAAACAATGTTAAAAATAAGGGAAACACTCATGAAATGACCAGAAAATAAGTCTCCATAAAAAAAAACCAGAAGATACTAAGAGAAGAAAATTTCAAAATGAAAATTTCAAAATGGAAAAATCCACTGCTCAGTGGGTATCTATTACTACAATAAAGATAATAGAAGAATTCAGCAGTAAATTTGAAAATAGACAAATGGAAATTGTTCACTCTAAACAACAAGATATTTCTTAATGAATAGGGCCTCACAGACTGTGGGACTGTATTTAACAAGCAAAACAAATTTTCAAAAACAACACTTTAAAAATGTGTTATTAGAGTTGCAGAAGAAGGAAAAGAAGAAAACACAAAAAAATCTGAATAATGGTGAGAATTACTCAAATTTGGTTAAAGACATAAAATTACAACCAGAACCAGTGCTCAAAGTACCTCAAGCAGAATAAACTCAAATATATAACCAAACTGAATGTAAATTAAACAGAAGGAGCATTTGAAAGCACTCAGGAGAAAAACAACATATTGTTTAGGAGGGGAGTCAATCACTAAGTGACTGCACATTTCTTATCAGAAATCATGAATGTAAAAGGTAATAGAACAGTTACTTTTAATTACAATATATAAAGATATCCAACAACTGAAAAGACAAACAGCCCCATATGTAAAAAGATCAAATGGTACTAGGTACTGGTGACTCAAGCCTGTAATCCTAGCTACTCAGGAAACTGAGATCTGAAGATCCTAGTTCGAAGCCAGCCCAGGCCTCCAATTAATCAGCAGAAAGCTGGAAGTGGAGGCATAATTCAGGTAGCAGATGCCAGCAATGAGCAAAAAACCTAAGTGAGAGCACAATGCTCATAGTTCAATCCCTAGTACCTACGCCATAAAGAAATTCTGAACATGAAAAGGAGGAGGAAGAAGAGAAAAAAATGTGACCATATATTTCCAAAAAAGTTAAGCAAATGTCCAAAGAGCATTCATGTGCCATCATGAAGACAGGCTGCTGATACCAAATAAAACCAATACAGTGCTAGTGCACACTCTTTGGGACAACATCTGAAAAATACCCTTGTTAACGGGGAAGTCACCATGAAGATTTCATTTCAGACCTAAATGTAGTGAGAGGTTATCCAAGTGCAGTAATAAATAGAAATCATCCGATTCAGTCTCTTGTTGAGTGTTAAGAAAAATATCATTGTAGGTTCCATCTCTTTATATATTTGCTTATGTCTATGTTTCAGTGTTTATTGTCTTCAAAAGGGATATTATTTTCTTGCAAAAAGCATAAAAGATTATTGGCTTGGGAAAAAAAACATTCTATCTCTGTCTTTATCTCTGTCTCTCTCTCGCTTCTCTTACACACACACCCACATTTGCCAAACTTGCAAAAAATATTCTTAGGGATATAGTGCTGCATTAAGATTGACTTTTTATTGCCTTGTGTTTCAAATATATTCAACAGCATCAACACAAACCTTCTAAGTGCGAAGCCATATTCCTTTGTAGTAAGTGAAAAGACAAACTTGGACCAGGATATGAAGACCAGGACTAAGTTTAGCATCACAGAAGCATCAGGGACGTGCCCCCTTATCTAGTCACTATAGATGCTGCTGCTGCTGCAGGACCCTCCTCTACTCCAGGGATAGGACAAGAAACAATGGGCTTTCTCTCTGGCACCAGTGATGGGGGTGGGGAAGGAGTTGCTAAGCACCCTACAGTGCACAGGACCACTCCCATAGTGGCAAGATGGAAGACCACTCAGGAATTACTCCACGTGAGTGAGTCAAGCAGAAAAGGTCAGATAAGTTGATGTTAGGGAAATGAAACCTAAGATATGTATTCAAATGTTTTTTTTCTTTCATGTGATTGTTTCTAACACATTTATAAGATATTCTTTGTTGCTTTGTATGTCCCTCCCCCACAGTATAACCCCTGCTTTCACTTATATGATGTTGGTATAATTTGTGGAGGGGAAGGGAAAAAACAAATAGTTAAAACAGGGATACAGGTGGACCCATTGCAACAATGAGATGTACAAGTCATTATGTCAAAAACGGAACTTTACAACTTTGGTTTGGGGGGTAGATCAGGTGTGGGGACATGGGAAGGGGAAACAAAGGAGGAGGCAACAATGCTTGATAAGAAATGTACTCATTATCTTGCCCATGTAATTGTAACTCCTCTGTACAGTATTTTCACAATAAAAAAAAGAAAACCCATGAAAAATCAGTTCACCTCCCTATTATTTCTCAACCTCTATCTTCTATAGTTAAAAGAAAATAAATTACAATGCTATTTCCAAATTTCATCTGTAAGATCATATTTGGAAGGAAATAGGCTACAGACAAATAAAGAGCATTTCAGGCAACTAAGAAGATCCCAGAAAGAAATCATATTTTAGATACTTCCATTTCATCTGGACACTTTTAGTCCCTACAGTGAGTCTTAACTGTCCAGGCAGATGGGAACTCAAGCCACATTACAATATTCTCACAAACTTTAAGAGCAAAAATTTCAAAGAGCCAGGGAACTTTAGGTCCATGGCTTTAGTAAGCAATATCACTTCTACAGATGATCTTAAAGAGGGTCTAAAAGTTAAAATCTGAGTTATCACCAGAAGAGTTGGCTGGGCCTGGTCATTACCGAAGACATTTGAATTGTAACAGACAAATGAAAGATTTCAACTGCAGAGAGACAACCAGAAGTGTGGTCACTGGACCAGATGGCAAACATGCACAGAGGAGAGACCCCCCAAGGAGCATCAGCTTCTGTCCCCTCCATAGCAACACCTAGAACTGGCTAGTATCCACTACGATAAGCAAGCACATGGGTATCTGCTTCCAACCAGAAAGGTAAAGATGAGGTCGTTCAAGCTAAATATTATAAGATTATATGTTTAGAGGCCCAGTTTGTTTGAATATTGGAGGCTATAAGTAGTTGGTTGTGACCTGGGTCAAACTATCTGTGGACCCCACTAGTTTTCATGATGGAGGGTTCTGAATGAACATGGCACCTTGGTCAATTGTAAATATAGACAATTAATTTTCTTGGGTGAATACTAACCACCAGTCTGTGATAAATATCTCCTCGCTGGCTTCTTCCATTGCATTTGCCACGTCTTCAAAATATCCCTTGGCGTTAACATACCTGAAAGACAGGGTTGGGGATTCTGTTTTTGGATGACTTTGTTCAACAAAGCAAAATGAAAATGAGCATAGCCTACAGTAAAACAAGACATAAACGACACTGTCTGATCTATAGCATCGTCAGGTTTTTGCTCATGTGCAAAAGGAAAGTTAAAATTAAAAACACAACATTCTGCCTATCACCTAGGAAGGGCAGAAGGCAGAGAGACATAAGCAACCTAATTCTTCTCTTCTCAGAGAACAAATGGACTGAGCCTTATTATCCGAGGGGACAGATGAATTCCCCTATCCTGTTGAAACTTTGGAACTGAAAAACAGATTTAGATCCATGGCAGACAGGCTTGGTATGATTTTTATTTGAAAGAAACATCTCAGCAAGAGACTACCTTACATTAACCAGCAAAAACTCTGGCTACCAGGTATGGCTTAAGTGGTAGAGCCAGCTGTGAGTAGGCAAGCCAAGCAAGTGCAAGGCTCTGAGTTCAAACTTCAGTCGCATAATAAAATAAAATATGGTGCCAGGGGCCAGTGGTTCCTAGCTCCTAGCTAAGCTACTCAGGAGGCTGAAATCTGAGGATCAGGGTTGAAGTCAACCCAGGTAGAAATGTCTGTGAGACTTTTATCTCCAATTAACTACCAAAACTAATATAGAAGCTGGGCACTGGTGGCTCATGCCTGTGATCCTAGCTACTCAGGAGGCTGAGATCTGAGGATTCCGGTTCAAAGCCAGCCCAGGCAGGAAAATCTGTGAGACTCTTATGTCCAATTAACCACCAGAAAACTGGAGGTGGGGCTGTGGCTCTAAGTGATAGAGTATCGACCTTGAGCAGAAAGAGCTAAAGTACAGTGACCAGACCCTGAGTTCAAGCTCCACAACTGACAAAAAAAAAAAAAAAAGCTGGAAGTAGAAATGTGGCTCAAGTTACAGATCAGTAGTCTTGGGCAAAAAAGCACAGAGACAGCTCCGAGGTCTTGAGACTGGCACAATGTGGGGGTGGGGGGAAGACATAGTAGGTAGTAAATTCGATTCCCCAAATTATGGGTAATGAGCTTTCACTTTATATCACTAAAAAAATATGAAATTAGCACTAACTTTAAAGTAGCTAAATTCACAGTGAAAAATCTTACAAACGAAATTAGGGAAATGACTCTTCAGTCACATGTCCTCAGCTTCAGGATGGCCTCCAGGCGAACCTTGTTTGATACAATTCTCAGGGTTTTGAAAGTATATTCCACGTGAATTTATACCCCTGTGACTTCAGATGGCTCCCATGGACCCCTGGTGAGCCCGGGAGAAAGAGCTCCTTACCATTTGGCTAATGTGTTCTCCTGGATGGCTGCATAAGATCCGAATCGGTGATCTTTGAGAAAGTTGGTGCCGTGTTTCTGGATGAACTCTTCTATGGCCCCTCCCCACCACCGAGCGTGTCGGTAGCTGTTGCATTTTAAAATAAGTGTCCTTTAATGAAAGGGAAAGTGGTACAACATTGTAAGTGTGTGTGGAAATGTCATGATGAAATCCACCCCCTGCCTAACTAATGTATGCTGATCAGCATTAATAATATCAAAGACAAAATGTGGGCCAAGTGGTTACTGTGTCATTTGAGCATGCCCTGTTTGATTTGGAACCATGGCAAACGAGTTGAAGTCCATCCCTGGGCATCTGGAGAGACCATCCTGATTATGGTTTAGGAGAGTCATTTCTTCTCCTTGCTAAGTCCTCCAAAAGCTAAGAAAATGCCATAGTTCATCCCTCTGATCCCAGAGCAGGCTTTAGAAGATCATGAGTCAATTCCAACTAGAGAGAACCTCAGAGGACTTGCACAGAAATTGGGAAGGAAAACAGCACTATCTCAGCTACTGCATATGGTGTGAAGCTAAGAGGCAGCCATCTTGTTCCAGTGAAGGAGCCAGCTGTAGGGCTGGGGCAGATCCACAAATGACAGAGAGAAGAAAAACAAGCCCAGCATGGGTGACTGACTCCCTCGGGTATAAACAAGTTTGTGTTTTTCTGGCACAAATAACTAAACTTGAAAATTAATGAACAGCTGAAAACAAATTTTAGAATAGATTACAGAAGGCCAGGTAGAGTAGCCCACACATGTAATCCTAACAAATGGGACCCCATTGGGGGGAAGGGGGAAGGCAGCTCCAACCTTGGAAGCTGGGGAGCCAGGATGAAGAGGCCAGGATGTACTGGGAAGAAGTTGCAAATAAAGCAGAGATATGGGGCCTTGAATTACCCCTGGAGTTGTTGGAGCGCATGTGCCAGGAAGGAGTCTGGGGAAACCCAGGAGGAGGCTGGGGAACCTAGCCTGGAACAGATCCATGTGGCCATGAAGCTCATACAAGAAAGAGAGGGAGGGGAAAGGGAGAGTTATGGGGACCAATGTGAATGTGGCCCAGCCCTTGTGGGCCTGTGGAAAGCAGGAGATAGGGGCCAGCCGGGAGGCTGAATAGCATCATCATGGTGTTTCCAATGACAATCTGAAATATTCCCTTCTCATAGAGAAACAGGATCTTGATACCCACAGCCATACAGCATGCATTAGTCATGACATGTGTATCTTTGTATAAACTGTGTAAAGATAAATGATATAAATTCATATACATGAGATATAGAGATGAATGCAGGTACATACACACACACACACAGGGCATGATTATTATCTTCCAGAAAGAAACATATCAACACACATGTACTCAAGAGTAAAATATAACATATAAATAACTATAATACTCAAGTGTATATTTGAACTTGAGTATTTTTCTCAAAAATCTATATATAAGCAGGATTTCTATAAACCACTTTTTAGATTAAAAAAATTATTATTGGATATTTATTGATTTATAAATGAAAATTTTATTATTTTTATACCGTAAATGATTACTTTTTGGCTACTTTGGTAAACTGGTAAATGGAGTAGAATGTTTTGTTAAAGTATTGACATACAGAGTCATTAATTCTGATTGTGTTATATAAATGGTACTCCATTCTTACAAATATATTCAAGGCAGCCAGTTGGGGTGGGGTACACCTGTAATCTCAGCACTCAGGAGGCTGAGGTGGTAAGATCCCAAATTTGACGTCAGCCTGAGATACATAATGAGACCTTGTCTCAGAAAAAGCAAGGGCTCAGCCGATACAGCACTTGCCTAACGCATAGAAGGACCTGGGTTCAACTACCAGTGCAGAAAAACAAGACATGTCTTATTTGTACACATACACACACACACACACACATATATATATATATATATATATATATATATACACACACACACACACACATCTTGCTTTCCTGCATATACATATATATACACATATCTATAAGTGTATATACACACACATCTATTTCCTCACTTCTGATTCAGGATGTGTTCTAAACAACAATTTTCTAATATTTATTCAACTCTCTTCTCCCTTAAAGCTGAAAGAAAACCTCTGTTTTTAAGAGACTTTGACAGGAATATTTTCTTTAATATCTGGCATTTCTACCTTGAAAGATTATCGATCCGAACGCCGTACTTGGTTTCTGTCTCCTTCCGCCCCACCTTGATCTGGAACTCCTTGTCCACCAGCAGGACAAAGGCGATGGCCCCGCTGTCAGGTTTCATGTAGAGTAAGAAGGAATCTTTCACTATCAGCCACCTGCATGAAGGGGACAGACATTTTATGTGAACCTGCAAGAATAAATGGTTAGGACACTAGCAGACAGTGTACTAAAACAGTGCTCTGTTTTACATGGGGATTTATTGTTTAAAAATCACTAAGAAACAATGGCTGGGGATGTGGCTCAGTGGTAGGGTGCTTACTGAGCATGTGTGAAGTATTGAAATAGAAGGAAAAGAGGCAAGGAAAAGAAGGCCGAGAAAATGGAGAGTGAAGGGAGAAAAGTAACATTATCATGAACGCAAATACCACTACACCATTTCTACTATATTTCACCAAGAATTGACAGTACATTATTCAACACAGCTCATTAGTTCATCAGCCTCTAAGGGTGCAGCCCTGGCATGGGCATGGGTCTGGTGGTGGACAGAGGACCCCAGCCTTAGAAGGACACATTAGGTTGCTGTTGACTAATTCACTATCATGGAAGAGGCAAACACATTTATTGGTCTAAAGAAAAATTCCCACTTACAAGACCCAGCCAGCAACCAGTGTTTCACATTGTCTGTTGTTCCTTACACATTAGTTGTGGTTTAAGAAATGTTGAGAAGCTGGGCACCGGTAGCTCATGGCTGTCATCCTAGCTACTCAAGGAAGCTGAGATCTGAGGATCACAGTTCAAAGCCAGTTTAGGCAGGAAAGTCTCTAAGACTCTTATCTCCAATTAACTGGCAAAAATCCCAGAAGGTGGAGCTGTGGTTCAAGTGGTAGAGCACGAGCCCTGAACAAAATCAGAAAGCTCAAGGATAACACCCAGGTGCTGAGTTCAAGCCCCAAGACTGGTTAAAAAAATGAAGAAGGAGGAGGAGGAAGAGGAGAAGGAGGAGCAGGAGCAGGAGGAGGGGAAACCTTTGATAAATATTAGCAGAACAAGCATACATTACTGTGCTTTACAGTGACAACTCAGTGAGGGTGGGCACAGGCTGGCACCAAGGATGAACATCCCAATGAGTCTGTGCTTTAGAAAGGATGAAGGGAAAGAGGGCTTGGTACAGATTGGTACCCCAGTCTCAGAGAATTTCTAGCAAGTTCATGGTTGTTGACTGGGCTAGCATCCACTTTCTGAGCAGTAAAGATAAAGGTGGCAGGTTCACACTGATCATGGGGAGAGCAAGAAAGAAGAGACAGGAGCAGATTACAGTGTGTGCTTGCATCACTTGGCATGCCAATACCATATTTATCAGATGGAAAGATACCATGTATTTCCCACTGCCTGTCACTGCATGCTGGTCCAATGAACCCATTCAGAATGGAATAAAGCAATGAAAGGCATGATGTGACACATCTGATAGAGCAAAGCACTCTGGGTAACTGCATGTGGCAGAGCAGGTACTAGGGCTTGAACTCAGGGCCTTTTGTTCTCTCTTGGTTCTCTCCCTCCAGGCTTACACTCTGCTACTTGAGCCACACCTCCACTTCCAGCCTTTTGTTGGCTAATTGCAGATAAGAGTCTCTTGAATTTGTCTGCCCACGTTGGCTTGCATCTGTTATCTTCAGATCTCAGCCTCCTGAGTAGCTAGGATTATAGGGGTGAGCCACTAAAATGGCTCAGACATGTAGCTACAGCTGAGCAAACTTGACTGAGGCAAAAAGAGAAGATGGAACCCCATTTATAGGAAAGTTCCCTCTTTTGTCTGGCCCGTGGTGCAATCCAGAGAGCAGACATTGTGACCTTGGCTCGGCTGTCTGGCATTGCTGTGTTACACTACTGACCAGGAAGGGGCTTGGGCTCTGGAAGCCATACTGGCAGCTAACAGCCTGGGAGCTATGTCAAACACGCTGGACATGCAGCTTTGCCTGTGTGGAAGTCAAGGGGATGTGAATGCCATCAGCTAGAGCTTGGACCAAGCACGCCCAGCATGGGTACTGCGAAACAGATAGGAGAAATATTCCAGAGACCCACGCTCCTGGCGTAATCCCAGGGCCAAGGGCAACAGAACATGTACTTAGGTAGAAGAAGCACACAGGTGTCCTTGTGCGGGTGTGCAGGGTGCAGGGTACCTGCTATTGAGGCTCAGCAGTGGGGGGGAGGGGGAGCAGGAAGCAGGCTGTGTCCACCCATCAGAATGGGGAGCTTTGCTCTCATTCACACGGAGACTCCAGTAATGGAAATAAAATGAATGCATTCTGCCCAAGCAAGGCTAAACCCACAGGTGAGTTGCACCCTAAACGGAAGCTCCCTGCTCCCCCAATGTGGGCAGGCTGGAATGCCATTTGTGAAACTCTTTTCATGCTTGCCCTCCCCTTGTTTTTTGGTCAATAATTTTTCTTTCTTTCTTCCTTCCTTCCTTCCTTCCTTCCTTCCTTTCTTTCTTTCTTTGTTTCTTTCTTTTTTGGTTTGTACTAGGACTTGAACTCAGGGTCTTATGCACTCACTTAGCTTGTTTTCTCACAGTTGGCACTCTTACCACGAGAACCATGCCTCCTTTTTGTCATAGTGATCCAGTCTTGCAAACTTTTCTTCCTCAAGCTGGTTTTAAACCACAGTCCTCCACATCTCAGCCTCCTGAGGAGCCTCTTTAACAGGAGGCAGAGGACTGGAGCTCTTGCCCTGGGGTCCACCTCCCCAGGCTCCAGTCCCAGCTCCGCCCTTTCTTCAGCTAATTCCTCTGCTGTTCTCTCCCACTGTGCTTCAGACTTGCCAAGCCTGCTCACTTTCTAGCTTTCATATTTGCTGTGTTTCTGTCTAGAACATTCCTTCCAGATCAGCCCACAGAGGCTCTGATATTGCTGATCCGAGCCTTAGCTTAAACATCTCTGTATAGGAGACCACTGCCAATCTCCAAACATGGTCCTCCATTCCCGTGTAAGTAGTGGTTGCTGCAATGCGTCACAGTGTGGACAACAGCATTTAAACCCGGTCACTGCCTAAAATGTTCAGAAATGCATTTCTTAACATCTCCGCAGTTCTCTCCCTTAAGGCATTATTTCAGCTGAGAAATTCAACTTCTAGTCTATGGCCAGGTGCAGAGAATTTGCTCTTAGAGCAGATGTTGGACACCGTGGGAGAAAGTGTTTCCAGAAATTGTGTTGTAGGGTTTCCTTTCTACTTGCCCTGGGGACAGGACGGCTCTTAAAGGGAGTTGGAGTTTAACAGCTCTGTTTGCTTTATCTCCATGTGTCAATCCAGGATAAACAAGGGATCAGGTAGCTTTCTGTCTCACATGATACAAAAGAGAGCTGTGAAAGTCACCTTTGAAAGTGAATCCCAAGCCACACACCAGTAGTTCACGCCTGTAATCCTAGCTACTCAGGAGGCTGAGATCTGAGGATCGTGGTTCAAAGACAGCCTGGGCAGGAAAGTCCGAGGGACTCATCTCCAATAAACCACCAGAAAACTGGACGTGGCCCTGTGGCTCTAAGTGGTAGGGTGCTAGCATTGAGTGAAAAAGCTCAGGGACAGCACCCAAGGCCCTGAGTTCAAGCCCCAAGACTCACCAAAAAAAAAAAAGAAAGTAAATCCCAACAAAATAAGTATTAAATAAAATGGGCACATAAAGAAAGGGAGGACGGGGCCATTTGTGCAGACATGAGTTTTTGTATATACCATGAAATTGAGAAAAATAAGGGAAAGGGTGAGTTGGGAAGGGTGGGTGAGAATACTGAAAGGTGTGATCAAGATACACTGTATTCATAACCTGCATCCTTGAATGGCAATTCCTTTGTACAACTATCTAAAGATAATAAACATATTTCTTAAAGTAAATCCCACTTAGGCATGGATAGTCTGCTACAATGAGAAACTTCCTAAACTAATCTTGTCAGCTAAACGTTACCATTTATATGATTTTTTAAATCCATCAAATGTGATTCCAGAATGATGAATATGGATGCAAGGCTTTAATTTTCACAGACTAACACAATTTAAAATATGATGCATTTCCTTGTAGGAAGGATTTTTTTTATCGTACTGGTTGAAACATGATTTAACATAAAGTTTTTAAAAGGGCATATTTCTTTTAGATAGCCAAGTCTTTCCCTTGCTTTCCCTGCTCCTATTTCTCACAGAAGTTATAACTCAAGAGTCAGCTCCTCCTGGAGCCTTTCCTTGGCCTGGTGTAGTGGCTCATGCCTGTAATCCCAACTATTTCAAGAGAAGGAGACTGGAAAAGTTAGCATAACCCATCTCACCCAAGTTGGGCACAGTGTGACATAAATAGGCTAAATAGGAGGATCGTGGTCCCAGGTTTGTTCCAGACAAAAATGTGAGATCCTATATAAAAAAAATAACTAAAGCATAAAAAGAGAGCTGAAGGTACAGCTCAAGTGGTAGAGTACCTGCTTAGCAAGAATAAGGCCCTGAGTTCAAATCCCAGTGCCCTTACAAAAAGAAGCTTTTCCTTGTACAGCTTTTCCTTGATTGTGTGTTCACTAGCCCGCAGCCATTTTTCTTCCAAAGCTTTCATCACTCTTGGGATTTTTATCAACTTCCTTCCTGCCAAGCTCTGGGAGAGTGGGATCTGGCTTACACAATGGCTATAACACACCCATGAATGACCCAATTCACCACCAAAGCTTCTTTCTGTTTCCTGAGTGGCTGCTTAGCGGCGGGGTACCCCTGAGGTAAGCTGGAATGAGGCTGAGATGTCTCCAGCAGCTCATCAGGAGCTAGCAGGGAGGTGGAGGCTGGAGGAGGCAAGGAAGTGCTGTGGGTGGTGTTACAGTCACCTTCCTGCTGGACTGCTTTAGGAGACGGCTCAGAACATGCTGAAGCTTCATCACAATCCAGGAGAGAGCTGACACTGAGTCAGAGGAAAGGATGGTAATGTTGGCATTTCTATTCTGCCCTGAACACCAGCAGGGAGCTCTTACATCCCAGAGCATCTCTGGATAAAAGACCATTGGTGCTTAAACACTGGTTGGAGATGCTGTGGTTAGACTAGCAGCTGACTTAGACACAGAGATCCAGCACAAGGAATCTGTGCAGGGTGGCAGAGGGTTGGGAGAGGCCTGGGCTGGGACAGGGAGACCTGACAGGAGTAGGCTGGGAGTCCTCCTTCCTAATTCTGCTGCATTGGGTTTCTACTTCTGAAGGCCTGCATCTGGTTGCCATGACAATGTGCAGCTGGGACATCCTACAGCGGCTCTCCCCTGCTCTTTCTTCTACCCTTCCTCACTCAGCTTCCTGGCACTACCCAACTTCACAAACTTCTGTGCTCCCATAAGCTCAAGTAAGTCATGGGGTTCCTCATAATTTGGGGTGAGAAATCTCAAGTGGGAGTCTCTGGACTTCCTTGATATCATACCCCAGATTTACTCAAGTTAAGGGTTCATGTGATAACAAAAAACCATTTCTAGAATCTTACTGTCATTTATAAGAGAAATGCTCTGTTTTCTTCAGTTTAATCTTCTGATCTTTGCCTTGTAATTTCCAAACTCAGAAAGTAAAAGCCCAATTTGATGGTAATTTCTCTCGGTCATATGGTTTTTTTTAATGTTTAGAAGTAGATCACTATGTTAGTTTTATATGCTTTGAATATGCACAATGCTCAATTCTGCATTTACATATGAGCTCATTTACCATTTTCAAGGGAATTATACAGAAATAAAAATTATATATGTATACATACACATTTCTTTTTTTTTTTTTAGGTTCTGAAGTTTTAACACAGGTCCTCAAACTCATTCAGTTTACCAGCTCATGGATTGTATACTACCACTTGAGCTGGACTGGTGGCTGATTAATTATGGATGGAATTTTGAGGATTCTTCTACTTGGTCTGACTTCAAACCTTGATCCTCTAGATTTCTGCCTTCTGAGTAGGTAGGATGACAGTTATGAGCCCCTAGCACCCGGCTTGATGTTGAACATCTGTTCATCTGCTCATTGGCTATTAGCATCTCTTCTCTGGCTGACTGGGTTATGTTTGCTTCCTTCCTTCCCTTCTTCCCTTCTTTCCTTCCTTCTTCTCTCCCTCCCTCTCTCATCTCTCCTTTTATTTTTTGGATTGAGAGTCGAACCTAGTTCCTTTGCACATTTGAAGCACCTACTCTACCAGTCCACCCTTCCCTATGCCCCCTCCTGCTGTTTTTTAAAAATGTATTTAGTATGTTTCAACCACCTTGTATAACCTTTTTGAAGTTCAGAAATAAACACTCCCCCCAAATATCTTGCTTATTAAACAAAGTCAAAACTCTGAAGTCCTACCTTTTTGACCATCGGTAGCACGCCCTTCCCTGGCCACAGCAGTTCAATCCTGGAATTCTGTGTCCCCCAGATCTTTTCATAACCATTCCTTCTCTGAAAGAGACATCGGATTATCCCATCATTACCCCATCGTCTTCAGACTTTCGAGTCACGCTCAGCTGAGCCTCACACTTGGGGCCACATAACTGTGTGGCTCTTACTTCACTTTCCCTTTCCTCTTCCCCCTCCAATCACAGTTCTCTTTCTGCCATGTTTGTTAGCTTGGAAACTCTGGCAGCCAACCATAGAAGTGCATGAGTCAGAAACAGCCCTTTTAACATTTGAAGCTGTGAAAATTTGTCAGACACAAATTCAAGGCCTCCAGACACTCCAGCTCCTGGCTCTAGATACTAAAGGTTCCAACCTTGACAACTTAACACAGACCCAATGCAACTTAATGTATGAAAATGTTCTCATGAGGTCTATCCTTCTGTACAACTAATTTACCCTAATGAAGAAATGAAAAGAAAAAAAAGACTCTGTATTTCTCTGGGGTTCTACCACTGTTAAGACACAAGGTTCACCCCTCATATCCCAGCCCACCTCTGTACCCCCAAATAATTAGGTCTAACAACTGGGTCTGGCCCAAGGAAGTAGAGTGAAGCTACTGGCTACTAGTATTGCTTTATTAAGATGGCAGCTCCTTTGTACAACTACTTAAAGACAATAAAAAACTAACTATTATAAAAAAAGAACATGCTAGTCTCTTGATTTGGAAAGACATGACAAAGAAAGCAATCGCCACTAAAGAAACAGCAATTTTGAAAGAATTAGCAGTTTTTAACTTACTAAACATAAAATTTTAAGCTCTTTTTATGATTAAGATCCAATCTTATAAGGGAAAATAAACATGTAACAAATTCCCATCTAGTCACACATCATATTTTTACATAGAATTATTGTTAATCATTATCAAAATGAATGATGGGTAAATAGGTAACTTCCAAATGTGATTACAAGAAGGGATCTTCTATTTACTGAAGGATGAATGAGCAGGTTCATTCAGTTACTCTAAGTCTACTGGAGAGAAAAGCCAACGTCAAATGCCAATCAACTTTTCACATTCTCTAAAGACCCAATATGGGAACTTACAGGCCCTTTGGTCCCAAATCACGGATAAAAGACAGCTGGCTTATATCAAGGAATTCTGTCTGAAAAGAAGAAAAAAATATCTTTAGAAAGCAAAAGAGAAAAACTTATACATTACAAAAATATGGACTAATCTGTGACATATCAACCATGGTGACTTTATAGACAGGAAGATCAATAACAATGGTATTGCTCTAAGATAAGGTTGAGCCAGGGCCCTAGTGGCTCACCCCTGTAATCCCAGCTTCTCAGAAGGCTGAGATCTGAGGGTTGTGGTTGAAAGTGAGCCCAGGCAGGCAAAATGGAAGAGATCTTATCTCCAGGTAACCAGTAAAAAGAGCAGGAAGTAAAGGTGTGGCTCAAGTGGTAGAGAGTCAGACTTGGGTGGAAAAGCTAAGAGAGAGTTCAAAGGCCTGAGTTCAAACCCCAGTACCAGCACAGGGGGAAAAAAAAACTTAAAAGAAAGAAGGGGGAAGAAGGAGGGTTCATGTTTGCCTGTGCTTTAGACCACATCAGAGACACCCTGGATAGAAAGGCAAGGACAAAAACAGATGTGCTCCCAGAGTCTAGAAGCAGCAGGAAGGGAGAGGAGACATGGAACCACACTCTGAGGGAGGAAGCTGCCAGATTCCAGTTAGGTGTGGGAGCCTTCACATGAGGCCATGCATGTCCTGGCTGAGGGGACCTCAGGATTGTAACTGGAGTAACTGGTGTAAGTTACTGGTGCCTTCCAGGATTGTAACTGGGAGTAACAAAATCAAGCAAGCTGTCCTTGGATTTCTTGTATGTATGTGATCAGAGTGATCTAATATTAACTTTGTAAGAAAAACAATAAATATCACAGAGATCTGCCAGTTCTTTCTTTTCTTGGGGATATTTGAAGAAAATGGTATCTTTAAGTTTTAAATGGACAACTTTTCTTTTAAATCCCGAATTAAAGCTATGTGCACAAAGTACTTTTCAAAATAAAGACACTAAAAGTTGAGGCCTTTATGAGTCATGTGCTTTTTATTTTTAATATAAAACATGGGTCATTTAGCAGTATATATGTTTTGTTTGATTTGTGAAAATATTTTCTTTATTCTTTTTTGTTGTTGTTGGTCATGGGGCCTGAACTCTGGGCCTGGACACTGTCCCTCAGCTCTTCAGCTCAAGGATAGCACTCTACCACTTGAGCCACAGCACTACTTCTGGCTTTTTCTGCTTATTTGTTGTTGAGAAATTGAACCCAGGGCCTCATGCATGCAAGGCAAGCACTCTATCACTGAGCCACCTTCTTACCCCCTGACCCCTTATTTATCTTTGTAATTGAGCTGGGTTTTTTTGGGGGGTTGGTTTTTTTTTTGCCAGTCCTGGGGCCTGAACTCTGGGCCTGGGCGCTATCCCTCAGCTCTTCAGCTCAAGGCTAGCACTCTATCATTTGAGCCACAGCACCACTTCCAGCTTTTTCTGTTTATGTGATGCTGAGGAACTGAACTCAGGGCCTCATGCATGCAAAACAAGCACTCTACCACTGAGCCACCTCCTCAGCCCCATTTTCATCTTTATTTTTGTGTTAGCACAGTGCTTGAACTCAAGGCTTGAACTAATTCTTGCTCAGCTTTTCCCACTTATGGCTGGTGTTCTACTACCTGATCCATGCCTCCAGTCTAGTTTTTTGGTAAGTTATTAGGGGGTGGAGTCTAGGACTTTCTTGATGGAGCTGGTTTTAAACCAAGATCCTCTTATCTCTGCTTCCTGAGTAGCCAGGACTGTAAGAGTTCCCAATCACTATCTGAAAATATTTTCTATTTGGAAATGTAGAAAGCCATGAGTTATTAGAAACGATATTCAGATTTCCAACCATAGAATCCAAATATGTTTTGAAACCCTCTTCCAGAACTCCTAATTTTATCCATAGGCATCAGACAGTGTCAGTTTACATTTGAAGCAACTATTACTAAGGTCTGATTACTTCGGGAAATCACTCATCTCATGCTTAGATACTTTCTTTACATAGCACTATCAAATAATTGATAACAGAAATATTCTCTGAAATAATTCTGCAGTATTGCTAAGCATAAGGAATTTTTCTAATTAAAGAAAATCATATTAATAATGCAAAGCCTTGTAAGTTTCATAGTTATTTAAATTTTAATCTATCTTTTTGTGTCAGTACTAGGATTTGAACTCAGACCCTTGCACTCTTGTTTAGCTTTTTCATTCAAGGTTGGTGCTCTACCACGTGAGTCATATCTCTACTGCCATATTAATCAAATTTTTTTAAATAGTGATTTCAAAGAGAAACTACACTACCATGGAATAAACCCTCTGGCAATATTCTAAAGATAAATTTATCAGATTGAAATTAAATGCCAACTAAGTAGCAAACATAAGCTAATCAAGAGGTGAAATTTCACAATGATTATGTTAACAAACTCCTCAGTGAGTTGTTAGCAGTATGAATCCCTGTCTCCATTTGCATGGATGATACTTGTTAATAATAATTCAAAATCATTTTAAACCAACAGTTTTCCATAGGGTTTGCTGAATCAAGAACTAATCAATATCTCTTTGGCAAAGGAAGTTGTGGGAAAACACAATTAAAAAAAAAACATTCTTGCCACTTCAGGGAAAGTAATCTCAGGCAGAAAATACCACTGTGGCTTGGCCAAGTGGAGACCTAAAATAAAAAACTCAGGCCAAGCAAGAAATCTCAGGGGAAGAAGGAATCCTGGGTGGTACCCTGTTCTTTTACACCATCTTGTGGTTTTCAGAAATGGCCCATTTCATTTTTTAGGTAGCAAAACATTCAATTGAGTGGCCAGGTAGGAAACTTTGAGAGCCAGGGAAGACAAGGGTTTAGGCTGGAGCATTCTCGAGGGGCCGGGGGTGGGGGGTAGGATGGGTATTCCAAGAACGCCTGCCTTCCAGGCAAAGCAGCTAACACTGGAGCCTGAAGCCCCAACTAGGGTCTCAGGACCCCCGTTCGTTGACACAAGAAGCTAACATTTCACTGAATTAAGCACAGCCTGTGAGCTCAGTGCAGCTTTTCCCTGCTGGAATGGATTGCCTGTGACTTGTATTCTTTACCCACTTCAGGGAAAGAGAAAGGTCCTGTCAGATCTCCAGGGGGGACAGCAAGTGTCTCACCATGGTGCTCCTTATTCCCATCATACCCTGGGTTTCTGCTCAAACACGTCTTCCACCCATAATGCTCTGGATTCACACTCAAACGCTCCTTCCTGGGTTACAGCTCAATTTTTTCTTCTTCCCATAATTCTCTGCATTCCCGCTCACACATTTCTTCCCATAGTTCCCTGGAGGAGACGTGGGAGGAGCCCGCTAAAGTCTGCCCTCCTGGCCAGGCGCTGGCTGCCTCACGCCTGCAATCCAAGCAGCTCTGGAGACTGGGGCTGGCGGTTCGATGCCTGCCCAGGCAGGAAAGTCCTGTGAGACTCTAATCTCCAGTAAACTACTCAAAGTCAGACTTGGCGCTGTGGCTCCAGTGGTAGAGTGCTAGCCTTGAGCAAAAAAAGCTCAGGGGTATCACCCAGGCCAGGCCCTGAGTTCAACCTCCAGGACACACACACACACACACACACACACACATACACACACACACCTCCCTCTGAGGGAACTCCATTGAACTCCTTTTCTGGGGACCTTCTCTTTAGAGAAGCTCCCTACTTCTGCACCTTCTGTTTTCAAAACCTTGTTCTTCTGCTTTAAATACCTTCCTTCCTACCTTCTAAAATCTTTAATGGGTGAAGAAAAGGAGCCCCGCCCTTAGATCTAGACATCACACCCTTCCCTGTACCTGAGTTATTTATCCCACAACACAAAGGCTGGTGACATCAGGGATCTGTGGATGCATTGTCCCAGACTGCAAGCTAGCCACCAGTATGAAGACAAAGGGACCTGACTCACAGTCTATTAACTGATTTACTTTTAGTTAGAGTTAAGATAAGATTCGATCAGTTTAGAATTTTATTTCTTGGGAGCTGTGCATTTTGTCCCATATCTAGATTTTAATCTTAAGTAAAGGAAAAAAATGGGGGTGGGGAAGATATTTACTGTTCCTTGTTCTTCTTCCTTTCATTGCTTGGAAGATAAGCATTTTCCAATTGGCGATTAGAATGCCCAGTTTGTAGGTTCCAGATTACAACCAAGTAGCACCAGTAGAATTTTTGAACACAAAATGAATTTCTGTTTGACTTTTTCAGTACCTACTGAACAAATCCAGTAAATATTACTATGCTGCATCTGTGTTAATTACATGTTTATGTCTGCAGAACAGGTGAAAGCTACACATTCCTGTTTACAAATAAAGAAAATAGAATGCATTCCCAATAACCTGAGGGAACTGCTTTCATCTGCTTCTAGGGGTTTTGTCTGGCAGAAGAACAAGAAGGAAAACTGGCAATAAAATCAAAGGAGGGCATTATAATACTCAAGGAAAAGGTAGCTGGCTAACTGCAGAGCTGAGCACCCACCATATATAAGGAAGAGGAAAGAACTGTCTTTGGCTAACTTCAAAACCCATGTAGAAAACCGCACAGCTAGCACTTTGAAGCCTAACTCAACCCCTTCTGGGCAAATCCTACTGCACAAGTACCATCACAGCAAATCTTTCTCCTGTCTTTAATACAGCCCAGCGTTTACAACCAAGACCTTTCTGAACTAACCAAAGCCTCTTAGTTTAGTTCTCACTTTCTGCTGATGAGAAGAATCACCTGAAAAGGCAAAGCACAAACTGCAAATCAATGCAGAACTAGAATCCAGGAGCTGAGGACATAGCCTATCCATTCCCTTGACCAGTGAGCTATGAGTCAATCTGTTTGAAGACTCAAATTAGCTTCAAATATACATGTCAAGTTGATATTTTATGAAGTTATAATTTATAGTATAAATTACAATTATTATATAATATACAAACTATAGTTTATAACTAAAATAATGCTATGATTATAATCAAAGTATAAATGTATCATATACATGTAATTTTTATATAAAAATAATCGTATGTAATTATAATTATATAAGTTTCAGGTTTATAACTTACATAATTACTATTATAATTTATAGTATATATACACATGTACTATAATATGTATTATATAGTTATATACTATGACATAAATGTACATATAAATATAACTATATAAAACAAATGTGCAAATATCTTATACACATATGTGCTTCTACATATGTATATATGTGTATATATACACACATATATGTGTATATGTGTATATATGTATATATATGTGTATATATGTACATATATGTGTGTATATATACACATATAAACAGCCATTGCTTTGTATGTGTGTGTGTGTGTAAAAATAACCTTGTATGCTTCAGGAAGATGGGATTTTAAATATTTCTCACAATTACTGAAAGAAATCTAGCCTTCAGGCAAGATTAAATTTACCATGAAAAGAATAAAAATGTTAGAGAATTAAAGTACATCAGATTGTATCCTATATTTGAATCATTTGGGAGAATTCAGTTGGTAGAAAAATATCTCAGTAACCATCAGAACAAGGAGAATAATGTATTCAGTAAGTGGCCAGCAAGGTTTTTCTCCCCCAAAGGAAATGTTCAGAAATGAGATTTCTAAAGACAACAGGGCTTAACTTTGAAGAAGTTTTTATGACTGGAAAAGTAATTAAAATGAACATTTCAGAAATGTCAACATTTCTTTAGTCAACATCATAATCTAAGCTGTAATCATGCACAAAGGAAAAAAAGACTCAACTCACCAAGTAGTTTTTCCTAAACCCAAAAGAAATAGTACAAGGACATTCCCGGGGCAGGCAGAAAAGTAGGAGAAATGCAAGGTTATTGCGTATGGGGATTCATACAATTCAAACAACTTTTCCCTAAAGAAAAGTCATGCAGGTTCATGATTTCAGAGAAGAAAACTGGAGGCTGCATTCCCAGTATCCACAAACAAGGTGCTTAGCCATCAAGTGATCTCAACAACACTTGCTCCCAAGTCCTCCCCACCACCAGACTCCTCCCATCTCTTGAGATCCTTGGTACAACACAAAATGTTGAAAGAAAACCTTCCCAGATCACACAGCCCTGGAGGTCATATTGATCATCCAGCAGACTGGACCAAGCTGCCAAAGAAGGTGGCCCAGTGTGAGATGGCCACCTCCAAATAGCAAGCCAGCAGCAGACAGCGGGGGGGGGGGGGGGGGGGGGGGGGGGGGGGGGGGCTGCTCTTGTCACTGACTCAGAGAAGCCAGGCACTCTCCCTCTCCCTCCTCTTCTGCTCCCATATTAATAGGATGCCATTGTGTAACCCAGAGGTGAGGTTACAACTGCACCTACTTTTAAATCCTGTCTGCATCCTGTACATATGTTCACCTTCAAGCAACACATCTGTACATTATGTACACAGAAACAGAATTACCCGGGTATTCGCGCTTAGCCCCTAGATAATTGAAAAGTTGTCTTTTAAAAACACCCCATTGTCAGCCAGGCACTGGTAGCACATACCTGGCTGCTTCGGGGGGCTGAGACCTGAGGATCATGGTTTAAAGCCAGCCCAAGCAGAAAAGTCAGAGAAACTCTTGTTAACCAGCAACATGCTGGAAGCAGAAGTGTTGTTCAAGTGATAGAGCACCGGCATTGCACAAAAAAAGCCAACGTAAAGAGTGTGTCCTTGAGTTCAAGCCCCAATGTCAGCACCAAAACAAACAAACAAAAAAAACCCACAAAAATAACAACAAAAAGCACCCATCTTCAAAGACCTTTCCGAAGATGGAGCTCTGTGTTTCTGATGCTGTCAAACCTACTTCCTCCCACCTGTCTTCAAGCTAAATCTCAGTGGCTGTTTCTAAATCCCACTACCCTTCTCTTTTGCCTTGGATTTCTTAAGAGGTTTTTCTTTCCCTAGTTTTCCCAGGTTTCTCCATTTCACATTAAAAAACAAAACAAAACCAGGCTAATCTGAAGGGATGAAGTACATTCTCTTGTAATCTTGGAGTATTCAAACTCTGCTTCATTGTTTCCAACACTTACTATTCATTTTTCCTTTGCAGCTTAGCAATCATTGGCTATCATTCTAGAATTCTGAGAGGAGAATGGGGTTCATTTCTAGAATTAAAATCTAGCCTTTAATAGCATTTCAAATTCATTTCAATCGATGGTCATTACAAAGTCTACATTCTAGTCAATATTTTAAAAACAGAATTTCCCCATAAACTGTACCATTACTATCCAATCAACTAATTTATTTTAATTCAAAGACCAACATAGACATGTATAAAAGTATCTCTGGTTGGGTGCTGGTGGCTCACACCTGTAATCCTAGACATCTGGGAGGCTGAGATTTGAGTATCACAGTTCAAAACCAGCCTAGGCAGAAAAGAAAAAATACTTCTGGTAATAAACTCTGGCTCTCATTTGACTATTTTGTAAGTGCCCTTCAAGTCACTGAACAGTACTTACTGTTGCATGGTAGTTTCTATACATGGGCATTTTCAGTATTTTTGTCAAATAATCTTCCAGTTGTTTCTGCAATGGAAATAGAGTAAATATGGTCATGGGTGGAGAGAAATGTAAACAGTAACAATAAGGAGAACATTAACTTCCTAAGTTATCCACTTATTATTAATATTGCCTTGGGCAGGGCATCCTGAAATATTTCTAAGGAACCTGGCATGATCACAGAAATCTCTTCCTGATGCTTAACTCTCAACACACTGAGTTTTCTACACCTTGTTGACAAGACTTGAACTACTTGCCTTTAATCCTTTGAGACCATTAAAATGAGACTTTCCCAACAACAAGGAGTTTTAAGGCATTTTACTCCAAACTCATACATTTACAATCCTAACATTCAATTTATTGGAGGATACATTATAATTTCTAAATATTATCTAAGGAAAAACAAACACAAAAAACGGAATCAGGTGCCAGTGGCTCATACCTGTAATCCTAGTTCTCAGGAGGCTGAGATCTGAGAATCAAGGATCAGAGTCAGCTCAAGTAAACAAATTTGAAAGGCTCTTATTTCCAATTAACCAGTAAAAAGTCAGAAAAGGAAGTATGGCTCAAGTGGTAGAACACCAGCCTTGGACCAAAGGAAATTAAGAGTTCAAGGCCCTGAGTTCAAGTACCAGTATGGAACACACACACACACACACACACACGGGGGAGAAAGGGAAGATATTCAAAGAAAAAGAAGACTTTCTAGTGAGTTGTACTCTGATATCAAATATTAAGGTAGAGATGTGTGTGTGTGTGTGTGTGTGTGTGTGTGTGTGTGTGTGTAGTGGGAATTAACAGTGAAACCAAATCCTGTACCTTTTCCATCAGTCTCAAAGGGTTAACTACCACAGCCATCTTCAGTTACACTCATATATGTATATTCACACATGTACACATAGAAAGCCCAAACTAATCTTATATGGGCAAATCCTGCTGCACAAATAACATAATAGATCTTTCTCCTATGCCCACCATGGCCTCTTCTCAGTTTATTATTATTATTTTTTTTGGATCCAGTCGTGGGGCCTGAACTCTGGGCCTGGGCACTGTCCCTCAGCTCTTCAGCTCAAGGCTAGCACTCTACCACCTGAGCCACAGCGCCACTTCCGGCTTTTTTCTTTTTGCTTTTGTGGTGCTGAGGAATCGAACACAGGGCCTCAGGCATGCAAGGCAAGCGCTCTACCACTGAGCCACCTTCCCAGCCCCTCAGTTTATTATTTTATATGTATAGATACCTTGGGAAATATTTAGTCCACATTTTAAATAAGATGACAACCACAAAGATGAAATAAAATATTCCCTCTAGAATGTAAAATATTCAGAGAACAAAACAGAACTGATAAAAATGAACAAAGAGTTATATATTAAGAAGAATGCCTGGCACAAGTAGCTCATTCCTGTAATCCTCACTAATCAAGAGGCTGAGATCTGGAGGACTGCAGTTTGAGGCCACCCTAGGCAGAACAGTTCATTAGACTCCATCACTAGCAAAAATCTGGGCTGGAGCTTTGACACAAGTGGAAGAATTGCAGCTTAACAAGCAGGAGGCTCTGATTTCAAACTCCAGCTTTGGGGCTGGGAGTGAGGAAAAGGAAAGGACTTACCCTTCTGCTAAAGAAATGCTCTTCCCGGATTCCATTTTCTGATGAACGAGGCAGACTGGGCATCTCTCGAGGGCCCTCCCCTTTGACATTCTGTCTTCTAAAAGTGTGCCTGACACACAGACACACAGACAGACACACACACACACACACAATGTAATAAACATGTTCATGGCATCATTCTGAAAAGAGCTATTTAATCAAAAATACATGTAACCATGCATTCATTATATGTCAAACATGTGAAAAACACTATTCATCCAATTATCTGATAACTTTATATTAATCCGGAAGTCCTTACCTTCTGGTGGGAATAGGGATTCGAATAAAGGCTTTGTACTTGAGCAGCTCCCGATGAAATTCTTGAAAGTGTTTGAATTTCCTCTTCACTTGCCATTTAAATTCCCCATGTGTTAATTCAATAGTGTACAGATTGATACTAGGTACCTACAGTAATAGATTAAGAATGGTTGGCATACTAGATTTAAAATAATAACAACAAATCCCAGGGCTGGGAATGTAGCTTAGTGGTAGAGTGCTTGCCTAGCATGCATGAAGTCCTGGGTTTGATTCCTTAGTACCACATGAACGGAAAAGGCCAGAAGTAGTGCTGTGACTCAAGAGGTAGAGTGCTATCCTTAAGCAAAAGAAGCTCAGGGACAGTGCTCAGGCCCTAAGTTCAAGCTCCAGGACTAGCAAAAGAAGAAGAAGGAGAAGGAGAAAGAGAAGGAGAAGGAGGAGGAGAGGGGGAAAGAAGGAGGGGGGAGGGGGAGGAGGAGGAGGAGGAGGAGGGAAGAAGGAGGAGGAGGAGAGAGGAAGAGGAGGAGGGAGGGGAAAGAGGAGGGGGGAGGAGAAGGAGGAGGAAGTAGTTCCCAAATCTGGCACTGGTGGCTACACTTGTAATCCTAGCTATTCATGAGGCTGAGATCTGAGGATCACAAGTTTGAAACTAGTCAGGCAGGAAAGTCTATGAGACTCTCATCTCTTACTAAAAAAGCCAGAAATGGAGCTGTGGCTCAAGAGCAAGAGCACCAGACTTCATCAAAAAAGCTAAAAGTATAGTACCCAGGCCCTGAGTTCAAGCCCAGAACTGGCACAAAAGATGGAAAAAAAAAGGTGCAATATTCAAAAAGTGGGAAGAGTTAGAGCCATGACTGACATTCAGAAGTCTAGTCACTGAGGAGGCTGAGATCAGGAGGATCACAATTTGAAACCAATCCAGGCAGTAAAGTCCACAAGACTCTAGCTCCCAAATATCCAACAAAAAGCTGGGCTGGAGGTTTGACTCTAGTGATAGAGTACCAGCCAAGTAAGAAAGCTGAGAAAGTATGAGTTCTTAGTGTTGGCAACAAAAAACCAAAAACCAGAAGCGGGGAAGGGACAGGGGAAACAGGTGGAGGGGAACATAAAAATGAAAATTAAATGAGAAGAAAGCAAAATCTTGAGAGATGAGGAGGACTTGGAAATGTCAAATTTAAAAGAAAACCAAAGGCAGAAAATATATTAATGTAGTAGTAATGCAGTAAATATATTAATTCAGATATTTGGATACAAAATAAGAAGTGCAAGCCATTGGCGCTCTGACCTTAGTAGTAGATGTGAATCTCTCTACTTCTAAGACTTGGGCTTTGATTGGACAGCCGGTGAGATATGTCTGTATATTTGGCTCCTTAAATCCTTGAGTATTATAAACAGCAGAGAAAGGGATGCATTCTAAAAAAAAATGAGTAAGTTATTCCAACGTATGATCATTGAATGAATTCGTATGATCACCCTTTTAAGCATCATAATTGCTGAAATCAGCAAGCCTCTTAGGAGATGCTGTCAGCCCAAAAAAGACAGGATTGCTGGGAATTTCAAATTGTGAAAACTTTCTCCCAGCTTTCCATACGATCACATTTACCTTCCTGAGTTTTGGGGTCACTAGGAGACACATCATATTCCACCTCCTCCCCTTCAAAATGGAGCTCCCGAGTGTCCAGATTCTCTATCAGGTTGCTCATGTCTGCTGCGATTTTCTGCAGAGCAGAGGTATTTACTCTGGACTCGTTTTTCAGCGACATTTTAACGTGAGGCCGGGCTGGAAGAAAAGAATACAGTCACACAGACTTAGATTCTGATCACGTAAAACCTTTCACACCATTCAATCCAGGCTGAACGAAAGCATGTAGAAGCCAGTCATCTCCAGTTAGCCCCAAACAACCTATCCATTGATTTTCCTGCTTTTCATTGAAAGGACTCCTAGTCAGTGAATTAAAATGGAACAGAACACTTCATCGTAAGCAAAAAAGGGAAAGAAAAAGCAGCAGCAATATTGAATAAATGCCAGCATTTCTCTAATCCAATTTTATGAACTTGAATAAATAAAAGACAAGGTACATTGATTTGGAGATGTTGATACAAAGAAAAGAAATTCCTTTTTTTCCCACTGTAATAAGTACATTAAAGATACATATAAATGTATTACACATGGAAATAAGTAATTTGTGGTACTTCCTAAAGAAACTTCAGTGTGTTCCTCATATTTAAATAAACAGATTTGAAAATATTTTTATGATAGCATCATCTCTCTACATTTTTCTCTGTAGGTGATATCTCAAGCAGAGAACATCACCCCTTTGAGATATAAGATCTGGGCCATGACTTAGCCTAGTATGCAATTCTGTGTCTTGAAAGGAGAATGAATAATATACCTATTCCCATCCATACCCTTCCCTTTTTCAAGGGAACTAGTTCTACTTCATTCTGACATTTAATAACACGAGTTGTTGCACACCAATACCTAGGGAAGGGGAGTTCCTATAGATTTTATTTTTCACTTAAAATACTGAGATTTCAACTTTGAGCCCTGTCATCAAAGTTGGATGAAGTGTCTATGGAGTGATGTAGAAATCATTTCTCTGTTACAGTCAGGCCAGAAGTTGGAAAGGCTCTCATTCAGTCATTGCTCTGCCCTAGGTCACTTGTTACAGCCAATGATGAACACACAGCGAGCATCAGCTCTGCTTGAATGACTAGAAGGTGCATAAAATGGAAATGTAAAGATGAATGAGGCCTGCTGGGAGCAAGGGGCCAGAGATAGTACCCCAAGTTCATGCCTGCCTCACCCAATGTCATGGGCATCCTGGGAATGGAATGTATATATTCAGGGACAGATGATTAATGGAGCTTTTGGTAGCAGTACCAAAAAATGTGGTGCCCTTGTAAACATGCTACCAAGAGACTCAGGCAAAACTGAGCAGCCCACATTATAATTCAACAAGTCTTTTAAACCAACATACCATTGCGTCTGAAGAAAAGAGACCTTGTCTGGAAGTTCAAGGGTAAGTGAAATGTCTCATACCTATAATTCTAGCTACTCAGGAGGGAGATCTGAGGATCTCAGTTCTAATCCAAGGCCAGGCAGAAAAGTTCATAAGACTACTTATCACCAGTTAACCAGCAAAAAGCTCAATGTGGAGGTGTGGCTCAAGTGGTAGAGCACCAAAAGAGCTAAACAAGAGAGGTGCTGAATTCAAACCCCAGTACTGGCATGCATACACATGCACACACACACACACACACACACACACACACACACACACACACAGATGAAGTGTGGTTTAGCCATATTTCATCTGGTTTAGCAAAATAACTGGACTTAATAAATCTGTTTCCTGTGAAATGTATAAGCACTTATATTTCTTTTTCCTTGTTGTCTATAAAGAAACCTAAAATAGAAAACATAAAATTATAGACTAGCTGGGCACTGGTGGCTCATTACTGTAATCCTAGCTACTGAAGAGGCTGAAATCTGAGGTTCATGGTTCAAAGCCAGCCTGGGCAGAAAAGTCCATGAGACTCTTACCTCCAATAAACCACTAGAAAACCAGAAGTGGTGCTGTGGCTCAAGCGGTAGAGCACTCGCCTTGAGCTGAAGAGCGCAGGGATAGTGCCCAAGCCCAGAGTTCAAGCCCCATGACTGACAAAAAATAATAATAATTGTAGACTATATTAGCAAAACATAAGGCTAACTTTGTCTAAATCTTCCCCCCAACTACCTCACTTCTAATTTATGTTATAATAATAAATGGGAGTACATTGCTTAGTTTGTACCAGGCTAGTGAAAATCCTTTATATACATCATTACATTGATCATCAGTAATAAAGCTATCAAGTTTACTATTTCTCTTCTGAAGCTAGCAAGAGATGATTATTCCCTTTTTGTAGGTAAGGAAACTGAGGCACAAAGACACTAGTAACTTGATCAATGCTTTGGACAATCTATCCAAGGCCACACAACTGGTAAATGATAGAACAGGGATTTGAACCCATATTTTACTGATTCCAAAGGCAATTCTCTCAAGCACAGTCTTTATTTTGCTATCTGATTTTTGTTGTTGCTATTATTTTGTTTGGTTCTGAGTTCTGAATTGCTGTGAAATAGAAGAAAGTGCAATGGAGAGATCTAGAAATGAATTCTCCTGCAGCTCAGTCAGCATTGAGCAAAGCCACTTCAAAGCTCGGGGTCTATATAAGATGATTCTAAGGGAAATGAACCCCAAGGTAAGGACACAAGAGGTTTTATCTTTGTTGCTGTTGTTTTCAATATACTATGTGATTTTTTGGTTTCTTTTGTATGTTCTTCCCCCATGGTATAACCCCTGTTTTCAGGGTTGATTCTGGTGCCTTGCATCTTGTACATACATTTTTCTAATTTGGGGAGGGGAAGAGAAATAACAAAATGCTGAAACAAGGATACAGAATGACCCATTGTAACAATGACATGTACAAGACACTATGTTGAAAATGAACTTTACAACTTTGGGGTGGGGAAGGAGGAGATGGGAAGGTGGGGAGGGAATGGATGGTAGGGGAAAAACAAAGGAGGAAGTAACAATGCTTGATAGGAAATGTACTCATTACTTTAAACGTGTAACAGTAACCCCTCTGTACAGTACCTTTATAATAAATATATGTATATAATTAAAAAAGAACAAAAAAGCTCAAGGTCTTTGTTCCCTATTGATAAATTAAGAAAATAGAGTCATTTCATTTCTAGCTTCCCTTTAGTGACAAAATCCTGACCATAGTTAAAAGATTCCAGACACCTGTTCAGCTTTTTGTCTAGCTTCATTTATCTTCATTTAACCTTCTTCTATCTCAGCAAATTAATCTCAGTAGTTTTGCAATTAAATAAGGCATGGGTAGTAGAATGTTTTCTAAACTGATCATTTAATTAGGCTCTGGTTAGTTTCTTCTGAACAAGCCATTATTTGACCATCATTAAAATATTTCTGTGTTTCCTTTTATCTTCACTCACAAAGAGACATTTGTCAGATGACAACCGAAAGCCAAAGGTTCGCTTTATTTAAAATTCAAGGTAATGAAAAGTTTAGAGGAAATGAGATAAGGAAAAGCAAAAAGGGAACATATCATGGTTGATAGCTAATTTTTAAGATTTTAATTATTTTAAATTGATTAAATACATGTAATAATTAACCTAGCCATCTTTCTCAGCCCAAGGAGGAGAAACAAAGGTTATTCCAAATGGCCTTCCTCTTAGACAAAGTGGAATGTTAAAAACACATGTTAGTTTTGAGGTATATGAAGATTAATATGAACTTGGGATAAATACTATAGAGCTACTGAATCAAGCTAAAACAAATATCTTGTTTTAAGTAGAAAGGCATAATAACATGTTGAGAATGTAAAGAACAGTGAGCCAAGAAAAGAGAAAGGAAAAGAACTTCCATAATAACAGTTTCTTATTCATCATCAAGCACTTTTTATATTATGAATTATGTTGATGAATTGTCTTTATTTGGGTATCAGTACAGGCGCTTGAACTCAGGGCCTCACGTTCTCAATTATTTTGCCTAAGGCTGGTTTTCTACCATTTAAGCCACATCTCCTCTTCTGGCTTTTTACTGGTTAATTGGAGATAAGACCCTCATGCATTTGTCTGCTTAGGCTGGCTTTGAACCTAGCTCTTCAGATCTCAGCCTCCTGAGTGACTAGGACTACAGATATGAGCCACAGGCACTAAGCCTTATCCTTGTAGTAGTGTGTGTGTGTGTGTGTGTTACTGGTGATTGAACGCAGGGACTCATGAATACAAGTGTTCTACCACTTTACGTATGCACACACACATACCACATAGAGCTATTTTTTGTTTGCTTATTTGTTTTGGGTTTTGTTTTGTTTTTATCTGGGTGCTTGTCCTGGTACTTGAACTTAGAGCCTGAGCACTATCCTTGAGCTTTTGTGCTCAAGAATGGTATTCTACCACTTCGAGCCACAAGTCCATTTCCAACTCTTTGGTTCTTGTTGTTTTGTTTGGGGGTTTATTGGAGATAAGAGTCTCACAGACCTTCCTGCCCAGGCTGGCTTTGAACCATCATCCTCAGATCTCAGCCTCCTGAGTAGCTAGGATTACCAGTGTGAGCCACCCTACTGGTTACACAGACCTCTTTTAGAGAAAGTATCTGATCGACAATCTTTTCATCAGTTGGTCTCAGACTTGACATCTTCCTTGCCCTACCTCTTGTTTAGCTGCAATTACAGGCCTGGCTTATTTAATATTCTTACAGAGAAAGAACAATGCTTACCTCAGAGGTATTTTTACTCTGACCGATTTAGTTCAATACCGTGTTCAATGACATTCACTGTGTGTGTAGTTGACTAGCTCTAAAATCTTACAAACTTTGTTATAGGGGTTCACAAGTACTGATTATGTTTTATGGTCTTGAGTATATAAACTTAAGATAATCTTTTATATATGCTGATATTCTGCAGCAATACTCAACATCCAGTCCCTTCTACTTTGATCCCATACTCATTACAATGATGGAAATATCACCGTCTAACAGCTTCCTCAGTGTTCATATGATTCATCACAGAAGGTCACGTGGAACTTCAGGAGACCCAGAAGATCAGCAGGTTGATTTGTGGGATTGTGAAGACTTACCCACCAAATGATTTCTCCATCTCTACTTTCCCTGTCTCCTCTGAATTTTTACCCAACAATTCTTTTGCTGATACCACTCTTAAATATCAAGCTAGAAGACCATGTGGACTCCTCAGTTGTCAAATCTTTAC